AAAAAAAAACTGTCAAACATGTAAGTATTGTGTTCAAGATCAGGTAACTATGGTTATAAGATGCAAACATGAAACTGAACATACCCTTAATATGTATTTGGTTTATAGGTTTCACAACTTTTAAGACACTTCAACAGAAAAGTACATGTCTAGTTGCTTTGAGTTAAACGGACGGTTGAGCATTTTTCAACGTCAAAACAAACTCAGCCTTAATTAATAGAATATTAAAGTAGTAAGTAATTACCTTTCCAGCTGGAATGCTTAGACACAAATCTTTGAAAATTGGAACGTGAGGCCTAGTTGGGTAATTAAAACTGACATGTTGAAGCTCAATAACGCCAGTAACGGCTTCTAGTGTTCTACCCTCATTGCTGCTGGAGTCAATTGTGGGTTTACTGTCAAGAATTTCAAATATTGAAGCTGTGGAATCTTTAGCTTTGTTGGTGTCTGGTGCCAAGGAACTAGTCTGGGAAATTCCTATTGCTGTGATTGTTAGACAAAAGAAAACCTGCACAAATTTTCTGGTGAGAAGAGAACTAGATCAAAAGAAACATCAAATTAAGATGGAGCATCCCTAAGGGAATGACTGATTGTACCTTGAAAACCTCTGAGAAAGTTGCTTTCCCATGTTGCACAAGAACAGATCCTATGTAGAAACAGAAAGCATTTGTGCAGTATAGAGCTAAAAAAGAGAAACCAAATCCTGCACCACTAACAAGCCCCAACCGAACACCTTGTTTTTCTGGCTCTAAACATTTCTTCCTGTACATGTCCATCACCTTTGATTCAGCACAAAATGAAGCAATGGTTCTGATGCTACCAACAGCATCATTTGCCACCTGACTTGCTTCTTCATACTTTTCCTGCACAGCACACAAAAGATTGCCATGATGTCCATAATACAAATTTCAAACAAAACTGAAAGGCTAACCTTGGCATCTGCACTGAATCCTTTAAGAAACTTCATCTGAATGACTCCTTGCATAAGGACCAAGGGTGACACGGCCAGAATTATAAAAGCAAGAATCCAATTAGCTGTGAATGATATAACTAGACCTGCTGTGATTGTTGATATATTTTGCACAATGAGGGCCAATGTGTCACCAACTAGACTTTTCACTGTTGAAGCATCAGTAGATAATCTTGCACCAACTGCGCCACTGGAAAGTGATTCATTTCCTTCAGTTTGATGACTATAAGGAACTAAACTAAATACATGATGATTGAAATATCTTGCTAACATACCTTGAATTTACAGGATCATCAAACCAACTGATTTCTTGGTGCACGACCTTTTCAAATGTCAGTGAACGAATTCTTTCTATTAATTTTCCACCAGCAATGCCAAAGAAGTAATTTTGCACTGGTATAGTCACTAGAGTAACTAAACCCAAACCCACATATAGAAGTGACCAGAATCTAGAATCTTTCCGCTGTTTTTCTGGAGGTTCAAAGAACATAGATATTGCCGAGGAAAACAATAAGCCAAACATAGGGAACACAACACCTTGTATTATTGCTGCAATGGATCCAAGCACCAAGACAGGAAGTTCAGGCTTGTTTAAGTAGGCCAAACGTTTTAAAGAAATGTGTTTGGGCTTCCTAGTATCAACATCCCCATCAGCTGTTTCTTGGTATCCATGTACTCCACTTTGATGAGAAAGAGCAAAGCTATCTGACTGAGAGTGTCTACGACCACTAGATGAAACTCTGCTTAATGATCTCACAAAGGATGCTTTCTGAGTGGGAGATCTAGGCATGTCACTATCTAAGTTAAAACTGCTACTTGACTTCTCTGCTTCAGAATTAAGGCTACATTCAGCTTCCTTAGCTCCTTCTTGCAGACGAATAAGTTGAGAATAAGCGCCATCAACATCCTTGATTAACTCATCATGAGTTCCTGCATATAAAAGCAAGCATGCAAAAGTTAATACCTTATTCCAAAATGTTAAAATGGACTTTCAAAGATTGTTATATTTATTGA